AGTGGTAGACTCGTAAGCGAACGTTGGGAGGAGTTGAAAAGGGTCACCGACAAGCATATCCCATGGCGAACAACTGTTCCGGGTTCTGACCCTTTCCTGTTCCTCCAAGCTCCTTTGGAGTCGCGAGGTCGAGCTCAAGTCCGTGTGATTTCACTTCTCCATTGCGCCCCTGGCCTTTGGCAACCGCGGAGGCGGTATACTATGTGGTTTGAAGGCAATGTAAATGCACAATGGGCGATTGAACAGCAGTGGCTTTATTGCATGATGTACCTTACCTTGTGGTCCTTGAGAGTAATAAGAGATCTTGAGAAGGTTTTCGTCGATGAATGGGATAAATGAGGGCGCGATGTTCTGAGTACGGTTCGTGCTGCAATGTTCAACATAGTGGTTTGTGTGATGATGGCAAGTCAGACATGACGCAACGTTTGTAAGACTTAAAAGAATATATATGCAGAAGACAAGAAAGATCGCTACATATGCGGAATACAAGTTTTGAAAGAAAAAGGAAGTATAAACTACACTGATATTCTAGAACCCACTGCTCGTCACCCTCAACTGTTCAAGCTTCTTCAATACCTCGCCGATCGACCTATCTAGTTCCCCCGCAATCGAACTCTGCTTGGTAGCCGGTAGCCTAGCGAACGTTTCACATAGATCACCATCCACGGTCGCCTTGACTGGGACGTAATAACCCCTGAAGCTCAGCTGGTCCCTGCCAACCAGACTACTCTGCTCTGTTCGCATGTGCTGCTCGAGGGTCGAGATAAAGTCGACATCTTCCTTGGAGATGAAGGGTACCAATATGCCAATCGTTCCGTGAAGGCCAGTGTAGAGAAGAACTTCGCGACCACCTGCAACAAGGGATACCTTATGGATCGAGGTCACGATGTCTCCGACATGGAAGTGAGTCAAAAGCTGGGTCTTATGCGGCGCGCCCATGAGAATGCCCTTTTCATGAAGAATTCCAGCACCAGTGGGGTCATCATCCACTTGTTCGGACACCTTCGCGTCTAGCCGATTCACGAAAATGTTGCCGAAACGGTCACCAGCGGCTACGGTGTTGTAATCCACCATAGTCATGGCAGTTACCCACCGTGGCTGGCTGTCATCAGCAAAGGTAAGTAGGCGATTCTCGGGTGCCTTGTAGACTGCGAAAGCAATGGACTCCTGCATGTCACCAACAATGATGCGCGAGCCCTGAGTAGCCAACGTGACAATAGCAGAAGAGAAGGTCTAATGAGGTTTATGATTGTCAGACGAGTACACGTGAAAGTGATTGAAACACACTTTGTTTTCAACTTTCCGGAGAAGTTTCTTCTTTCCGATGTCGTAAATCCTCAGAGCCTTGCCAACCCCAGCAACAAGGCGTCCCTGGAACGCTAGAAGTGCCAAAGGAATATCGTCCGTTTCAGTCTGCGACGAATGTAGGTAAGCATAAGGTCATAATTAAGGCGACTGAAGAATTGAGTATACCTTGTGTATAAGCTCCAGACCAGCTCCATCATCCGTAAACCTATACGTTCGGAGGAAACCACTTGAACATGAGCGAGGCGAGATGAGGGTATCGGCCGCCGTGCCAACAACAAGATGCAGCTCGCCGCCTTTCGCAGAGAAAGGTACAACTGCTAGGGAGAACGCTGCCTCGTTGCCATCAAGAGGGAGCAAAGCAACCGTTTTGGCCTGTCAATTAATATACATCAGTAAAGTTAGCAGTTTTGAAACGGAATTCAAAGACCTCTATGGGGTCAATGATACGAATGCAAGATGCCCAAGTACCAGCAGATGCTCTGGGTCGGCCAAAATCTTGTGGGGGCAAATTCACAACCTCGTCATCAATAGTCTTGCCTTGTCGACGCTAAATAAAGTTTGTTAAACGATTTTCCGATCACTTGAGTACGAGGCTCACCAGTTCATCTAGACGTTTGCTTGCTGCATCCTCTCCCACAACCCGATGATCGCCTTCAATCATGTAGAAGTAATGATTGGAAGGGTGGGTGATGAATTTGCGAGGAGTGTATGACAAAGGAATGGAATCTTGCTTCAATTTAGTCCCGAGTTTCGGTATTTGGAATATCCTGTTATCAAGGTATGATCAGGAAGGGCAACGAAGACATTTTTGTTTGTTATTCACCGTAGGGTGCTTCCAGCGATGCCAATGAGGCCTTCCGGGCTAAGCTCAGCAGAGAAACTCCACGCGTAGTCAAAGTTCTCGAAAATTAGCGGTGTGAAGTGCATTAGGTTTTGATGGGTGTAGTTGAGCCAAGATCGCGACGAAAGGGCCAAAATAGCAGGATTGCGTTGGATTTGGACACGGATCAGGCGTATTGGACGAGTTCCAAGGAAGCTGGTGATCACAGTAAATGTATTGAGCGATTGTTGGTCGACAAGATTACACTGACCGGGTACGAGTGTCTGTGAGCTGCCCGTTGATTGGGTCGAGGACGGTTCGGAGCAAGACACCATTTTGGAGACCAATATTAACAAACATGGTTGGTTGCGACTTGTTGATACTTGCGTCAAGCATATCGGCGATGCAAATAGAGGAGGGTGGCGCCGTCAGTGCTTGCAAACTGATTGTCTCGAGAGTGCTTTCTGGATCCAACGAAATAATCCGGACAGTTTGATCCTCACAACCAACCGCCTAGATGTCGTTAATAGACGAAGAGGAATACGAGATGGGGAGGGCGTACCAGATAGGGTGTCCTTTGCCTACCCTCCGGGACCTCACCGATGCTCAATGCCAGCACTGTGCTTCCCATAGCTTTACGATCCTGGTACTCGTTGAGCTGACCGTCCAAATCCAACTCAAAGTAGACCAACTCGGCCGAACTCAACGCCACAACGACCTGCCTCTTGTTTGTTGTCGCACTGACGATTGTCTTCCCTTCTGGTACTCTCCACTCGTTGACCCGCCGGTCAGCAAGAACATGGCGAATACCCTGAGGGTGAACCTGCAGAAGGGCATCAGCACCAATCTGTTGCACAGCAAGTGTGGGTGCTGAAGACAAGAAGCCAGTGTCCTGAACTTCTTCTATCGTCTCGCCAATTGACAGGACGAGGGTACCATTAACGAAAGAGAGGATAATGTAAGAGTCGTATGGATCTAGAAGGATGAATCTATTTTTTTTCGAAGATAGTGATAATCGCTAGCTTACCATCTTCTGTGCGTTTGGTGGTCCAAACAGCGTTAGGAATACCCGGAAGGTCTGAGCTCACGGATTCCTCTACTTCGAGGCCATGGCGTAACGTCCTGAAAGTACTCCTAGGTCCACGTCCACATGCCGCGAAAATCTGAGGGGCATCAGAGTTCGGTAGCACGTTAAGGACCTTTGAGTCAACTATGGGATCAAGAGACTCAAGTTCATCAGCAACAACCAAATTATCAAGCGGTCGGGGACGGAAGTAGGCGTGAGGCAATGAGACACAAGGGTCATCCATGCCGAAATTGCGGTAGTCAGTAGAACTAAATTCAGGTTCCTCGTCATCGTCTCCCAATTTCTGGAATTGATATAGGAAGCTACTCGAGAAATCAGTAATTCGATCCATAGAAGTCAAGAAACGACGTACTGGTTCCCAAACTCAGATGCAACGAAAAGGAATCCAGATTTAAGAATGCAAAGACTTGCAGCGACAGGCACGGTGTCAAAATACTTGATCTTTAAAGACTTCACTTCCTCTTCCTCATGTTCGATCGTGACTTTATAAAGATCACCGGCTTCACTTTGTAACAAGAAGAAAAAGGCGCCCTAGACATGTGAAGATGGCATGAGGTCCAAGTAAAAAAAGGTGTACCGACGACATACCTTCATTTTGTGCATGACCGCTGCCACGATGATCAGGCCGCGTTTAGTATCGTCGAGAGGATGTTTACGTCGAGGAATTGGAATACGGTGTTGAGGTACGTCCATATGTCGGTAAATGATATGATCTTCGCAGCAGACAAGAACACCGGACGGGCCGTCGAATCGGTCGGAAGATGCCAATTGACCACCAGGGACCTGAACCAGAAGGTTTGCGCGGGGATCGGTAGGTTCACTCCACTTGCGAACAACATGGTTCAGGCCCAAATCCAGCTCGTAGTAGGTGAGCATCTGTATAAAATCTCAACTGCTGAACAAAATCTCTCCTGTTCTGTTTGCGCACCTTTTCTGCATTGCGAAACGCCTCGCCAGTCGGGTCCTGGTCCGATTCACTATAGTCGACCTCAAGCGCAGCAAACATCGGGTTTTCAAATCCAACATCCAGTCCGACTATATGATGGATGATTGCGGCGTTCTTGTGAGCCTCCAGGGGTGAGGAAATGGTCAAGTTGGCCGCGGCGTCTCGGTTGAGAATGTAGACAAGTTTTGCCTTTTCCATTGCAGATATCATAACGCTGCGCCCTTTGGGATCAGTCGCGAGGTACTGCCCTGGAACAATTCGCCGAGCGCCAGACTTCCCATAGGTTTCTTGATGGAGTTTTACGAAAGTACTTGTTTTTGGGTCATAGTCAAGAATAACGATGCGTCCAGAGTCAGAGCCTACGATGGCGTAGTCTGAGAAGAAGTTATGTGAACAACAGTGGACAAGTTAGATACGTACGACGGCTCACCCTTAGTTCCTCCGGTCAAACGAAATGCGGCAAGAGAACGAATGGATCCAAAGACGTCTGTTGCAATAACAGTAGATATTTTGCCCGTCTGAACGTCCGGACGCAACAGTTCCAACCGCGTTCCATGGGAAATGATGATTTCTTGCTGTCTTGCTCCAGAAAAGTTGCCCACAATGGCTTGTGTGATTGCCGTTGGCGGTTGCAGCGTCAGGTTATACAAATGCATCGTTGGCCTTCGGAAAGAGAACGATGTAGTCTGAGTTGTGCACGCGAGGGTGCCGGAGAGACAGGAATGGGGTCAACGCTGAAAAGGGTTCAACGCGGCGTCAAGAATTTGTTCAAGGTCAACAACGCGTTAGACTCTGGTATATTTTCTATTCATATTATTTTTTACATAGCAGGATGTATAGTCCTTGTCGATTAGTGGTTAAATCATCTCGTTGTGGTTAACTACTCCGAGAAGCCGGAAGTTCGAATCCTCCCTGGGACAATATTTTATTTTCCTTCCTCAATTCATGCATTTACTCCACAATGATTTCTGTTTCCTTCTCAAGGTGTGCCTAACATTCCGCCGTCTCTGTCAGGTCGCCGGGAACCCATAACCCTATGAGAATCTAAGATTGTTATTTGCCTTTTGCCCTCTGCCCTATCAACTGATGCAGGTTACTTTGGTCGGAGGTCATCTCTTCCTCATTTCTTGCAGCTGTCATTTCTTCAGAATTTATCTTGAGCATAATGTTCGCACTGCTCGCTGAAGATATCATTCTCACCATACTCTCCATCTCTGATATTCCAACAGTCCTGTCTGCAAGCGAGGTGAAACAAGGAAATGCAATACACTCGAAGTATTTGTCTCGCTGACACTATGAGATAGACTTGCAGTCGTCTTCACTGTTTAATTATTTCCAATCGGTTCCTTTGGTTGGCTCTCGTTTCAAGTCTGCAGCCTCGCGCTTGCCTGGATATACCAGACATTGAACTCCAGGGCCTTCCAACGCAGTCTCTTATCAATCTTCTCAAGAGAGCTGTCCGTGGCCCAAAAACCTGGGCAGCACCACCATGCCGTCCTGGATCTGGCAGTTGGTCTATGTCGCCCCCGACAGTCAATCGTCGTCTGTCCCTTTGCCCCTCTAATCAAAAGTATATCGATGCCAGGCTCGTCGATGGTGGGCAATACATTCTGTTGAGATCGATGGGCCTGGAATGCTGGGATATTTCAAAGAACTCTCTGGTCTGGGAATTCCGCCCTCATGGTGATTACGGACAGTTGCCAGACAGGGTCAGTGGCTTAATTTACGGAGAAGAGGTAGTCAAATCTGGAGAGATTATTCGCCTTATGTGTTGCTTCACTATCCCATCCATGTCCAAACAGTCAGTACCCTCTTCTTTTCTTTGTCAGTTTAACTGCAATACGGCGTTTATATTCAAGTTTGTATGTAGGATTATCGAAGTCGTCCAGTTGAACTTAAAAACTGGACAATCTGAACTCCTTCACTCCATGTTGGCACCTAGACGCCAGTTGTCGTACACTTTTCAGCGCTCTCAGATTTGCTGCGACTGGGCAGTAGTAACCTTGAATTTTGCTTGTGCGATTTTTCTTCTAGACTGGAGGACTAGACGACACGTGGAACTCCCTTTGGAGGTGTGTACTCATATTTCATGGCCTTTTTCTTTTTCTTTTTTACGTGAAACCCAGGATCATCAAGAAATTGCGGCTGCCGCTTTAGTTCCTGGGCACCTGATTACACTGATCACCACCAACGGCGACACAGAGCTCGAAATTTGGGATGATAATTGTTTCGACTGGCAGTCCGGACCTGCTGTGTCCAGGCACATAAGCACCAGTCCTCTTCTTCGGACTAGAATCATCCTACCAGGGGGGCAAACCGCTCGCCAGTTACGACTCTACGCCCATGCACATCCTCTTTATGACGACAAGTATGCCCTGTGGGCATTTTTGACCTCGGCCATCCCGAGTTTTCTTGGGGGACCAACTGGCACGTCGGTTGCGGTTCGGTATATGCTTCATCTGAACTCTTTGCCTGCAACTTGGAAGCAAGACGCCGACATTCAGCAGGATAAAAGTACGCTAGCCAGTCTGGACTTGAGGACCAAGGTGGAGCTCGATCATGGGTTTGCTAGCCTCGGATGGTGTGGTGTCTCGTTCAGTGGCTACACACTGACTGCTCTTGATGCAGTATCAACGTGGGGGGAACCGGTCAAGAATATTACCTCCTTGCATGGACTCCCCAAATACGCAATGATCTCAACTAGTGGCGCAGTCAACTTTCATGGCGCCTACCACCTGGCACCTTACAGCGGTGCCCTGACTTACATTCAAGGCGATCAGATAACTGTAGATTATTACGACTGATATGGTTAGGCTTATAGGACCAGATGGGCAAAATCTCAAATTCACGTTGGTCCCTTACATATTATACAGTTCGGCCAGCATCCTGTATGCGTTCAAATTTGTGACCAGAAAATGGGATTTGAGAGTACATAACGAAAAGAGACGCAGACTCGGAGTGTAGGAGCAAATGTGGCGGATCCCGGACTTTTGCGGGAACTGAACCAGTTTCTCTAACCCTATGCAATTGCCTCCGAAAGCGTCATACACACCCTCTATCTAGTGTCACGCAGCGCTCTCATCTACTTGAATTGACCTTCTTTCAAATCATAAGGTAGATATTTGAACCAGGAGCTTGCAAACCTAGCTAGCTTCAAGCAATTCCGTTCGTCCTCAGCGCTCGCCTCTTGTTGGCCGAATATGTTCGCTTCAATACTTGGCCGCCATCCACGTACCAATACTTTTCAAAAAGGGTCACGGCTCATGAGCAATACTGTTTTAACCCGAAGGCCTCTTGCACGTCTGGTATGAGCGCCCAGTCAAGCTTGTGAAACATTTGGACTGAATAGTCGCAGTTGTTGCAGCCGAAAACGCGTCCCTTGCCTGCTCATACCACTCGTTCTTTCACAGTCTCATGCTTGCGCATGGCCCAACCAGTTGAACCTAAAAAGGCTGAATTTGGACCGCAAGACAGTTCGAAATCTGAGACCGAGAGGTGGATATCAATTCTGGAGAATACAACATCTGCGCCCTGGTTGTTTTCTTCAATTCCAGATGTTGAGAAGAAACTCATTTTGGCATACACTTTACTATTTCAAATTGTCCTATATCTTTCTCGCCCAGAAGGTGGTGAACAGTTCTTAACTGTGAGTACAGTTGCTATCAAATTGCTTGGCTGTCCTTCACACCTCAATGCAGGCATTTGAAACGGCGCCAGCGTCCTCTGAATCCGAAATCGGCAGGGCCAGAGTAGCTGTGCCTATAATTTTGCGAGCTGCTGTCCATCATTTGTCGACTGTGCCACTTAATTCACCAGTTCGTGCCGAACACTCAGACATCTTCGACATTTTCGGTGCTTTGCAAGCTATACATGATATGTATCTCACCGAAGAAATCTCAGACCTTCGAACATGGAGCGACTTTTGGTCAAGAGCGCAACCAATTGTGCTCGAGTTGGGTATGAAGCTCGATGAGAAAGGGTTTGGGCTTCCAAAGGATGATGTTGAACCGGAAGGAGAAGAAAAGCTGTCTCAATAGGTGCTGGGTTCATGATTCTGGCAATAATTTAAAACATTTCTATGACGAGACATGCAAATAGGACCTACAGCCAACATATATCCACTGCATCTTCACCATTGACGATTTCTGATTTACTGAGAGTCTGCTTTGATCTTGTCAAACATAAACAGTTACCATACTCTCGCAACTACTCTCCAATTCAAATATTCATGGTCTATCGTCGAACCAATGCATCATTTGTATATGATATGCAATTATAAGGAACCATGTAAGTAAAGTTGGCCCCACCCACCCGACTTCGTTTGGTCAATCGTAATCGTCCGGGGCTCCGAAAGCTGATTTCTTCTTTGCTCCCCGACCTTGCTTTCCCCTCGAAGAACTCCCCCTTGATGAATTTCGGCCTCGGCCTCGACCTCTTTTTGCAGTACCAGTGCCACGAGTACTAGGCCCAGCGCCACTACCAGTACACTCTATATGCACCCGTAAGAAACCGATGGTGAAACCTGTACAAAATGTTAACATACCGCTGCTCCAATGGCCAGATTCCCCACATTTAAAGCAAGTGCCATCTTTTGCTTTGTCGCCACTTCGTCCACCAGCACCTCCTTCCCATCCGGAATTTGTCCTTGATATATTGGCGTTTGGACATGCTGTAAGAGAATTCAATTGGAGAAGGTCGTAGAGTGCATCTAAAACTGCTGACCTGTACTAATATGACCATCCTCGTTACATTTGAAGCAAGTCAATCCTGCGCCAGCCCTTGGCCCAAAACTTCTTGGTCGCTTACTGTTGGCGCCATCGCCGTCATTGGGACAATCTATTAGGAAGCGATGAGTTGGGAAGCGATACTGATTTCATGTTGCATGGCGTACTTGAGGCCCAATGGCCAGGTAAATGACACTAAGGGGATCCATTGTCAGCCGTCGAAAAGCCGACTTAAAAAAAGCGAAATTATGAGACCTTGAAACATTCGTCGTTTCCCTGTGGACCGGCACCAGAGGCCTGCGCCCATGATGTTGGTCCTTTGATTTCCGGCGCATCATCCCACACAAAGAACTTGCAGTCTTCTGGTGTTTGCGCCTTGGCACATTTCCAAAACATACGACCTTGATTAGCGGTAGTATTGGCAGATAATTTGACGGCAGGTGAATTGCAATTGCACATGCGGCCAGCGCTCCCAGTATTGGAGCTTTGGACCTGGTAATATATATATATGTCAGATATTGCAACAACATAAGGAACAAACAATTTCAATACCTCTGGATACGGCCGTTTGGCGGGAATGACTGAAGGGCTGGCGTTCACAGGCCCGTCCCGTCTGTAAAATTCGCATTGGTTGTTGTTCCCACACTCCCAAAATTTCTGGCCTTTGCTTGTAGATTCTCTGGTATGCACTCCCTGAGAGGCAGGAAAACCACATTCACAGTGCACAACGTTGCTGGAAATACTCCTTGATGGAATAATTTGTGGGCGAACGGAAGGAGGCCTGTACGGAGGAGCATTGAGAGTTGTTGATGCAGTCTGTCGACCGGAAGAAGGCTTAGTAGCTCTTCTATTTGAGACTGGCATTGCGATTGGGCGAGAGGAACTTGGCCCAGCCTGGCCTGCGGGATTGCGAGGTGGAGGTGGTTGATCGAAGTCTGCAAGAACCCAGTTAGACAGGCAATTTGCAAGCGTACCCTCGGACTATACCATGTTCAGAATCTGGTACGGGAACAATGGCAGCGTCTCCTCTGTTTCCCCCACCCCGTCCCCTGGTGGCATTCCCTCTTCCCCGTCGTCCCCCGCCTCCCCCATTCCCGCCGCCGCTATCGTCATCACCACCATCATCATCTGCTCCACCACCTGCACCACCTCGTCGCTGGTTATTTCCCCCGCCCTCGAGATACCGTCGAACACTC